ATAATTTGCATATTATGCCACTTTTTCCTTTTTATAACACAGAAATGTATGCTTAACCTAGGCGATGTAAGCAAATGATTTAGAAAAATTTGATAACCAAAATTTTATTTGGTTGACATTTCGTATCGTACAGGGACGTATTATTATGTCTATGGTATCATGTATTTTAAACCCCCCACTTATAAACTGACTATAAGCATAAATTATTATGATAATGTAAAATGATAATGCAAATTGACAAATTTCTCCTCAAAAAAGAAAACAAGGTCATACAAAAATTACAAAATATACCAAATATACAAAATTTACCAAATAAGCGGTATATGTGTGGAAGTATGTGATATTTTACACATACTTCCACACATATACAAATCATTTCCAAGTGAGACTGTTTCCATTTTGTGGGGTTAAAGTAGGGGAAATGTTCTCATAAGGTAGCGGGCATTGAGGCGCATGTGTCAGCTGCATTGCCGCTTAAAAAAAATATATTTTTGTCCCTATTTAAGAAGTATAATAAATACTTTTTAATAAATTGGATATAAATTTTATGAAAAAAGCATTTAACAATAATTAACTAACAAAATTATATTTTAGGTTTTATAATGGCATTTTTATAAAAGCAAGAAATTGGCAACATCGTATTTTGATCACGATTATCGTATCATAGCCAAAAGATATTTATGATAGACATATTATATGTATATTTATAATAAATATGTAGATGGTTTTTATAATTATCCATTTTGTTTGTTTTCTGTTGTTTACCAATTGTTTTGGCATTGTTTTTTCCATTGTTTTTACGAGATTTTTAGTGGATTTTACATAATATGCATATTATGCCACTTTTTGCTTTTTATAAAGCCAAATCACAGACATGTTCGTAAGCTTAACCCAGGCTATGTAACCAAATAATTTAGTAACATTTTATATAACCTAAATTCTATTTAGTTGACAATTCGTATCATAAGTGGACGTATTAATTTCTCTTTCTTATGTTATGTGATGTCTATGTTATCATAGATTTTAAATCCCCCACTTATGAACTGACTATGCGCATAAAGCAAAATGGCCCACGAAAACAACAAATTTTCCCTCAGAAACGGAAACAAGGTCATCTATAAAAAAATATGGGCAATAAGCGGTATATGTGTGGAAGTATGTGATTGTTTATGAAGGGTGGGCCATCTATAAGTTGAATTTTAATCACGTGCTATTAAGGACGCTGTCCTTAAGTTTAGTTTTATCCTTTATCCAAAATATGCATTGATTCAATTTGAATCAACGTTTTGAAATACTCAAAACTTACTTGGAGTGTGACTCTGTGGTTGCCGAGACAGCAAGAAAATTGCTTACAAAAATTGGAAGAAAAGAGACGCCTTCAAACCAAGGAATTACATTTCTTATCTATTAAGTGGGCAGAAGTTTAATGCTGGTGGACGTAAAACATGTTCCCGAAGCACTCTAAGGAGGATTCTACACAAAGGCCTAGGTATGTTCCGCTTGTTGAAGCAAGTTGACCATCCGTAACGTTTTCATTTTAAACCAGTTGAACAATGACCCTGATTTACCAATAAAAATCATCTTTTCGGATGAGGCGCATTATCACCTGGGAGGTTTTGTTAACAAGCAAAACTGTAGAATTTGTGGCAGGGAAAATCTTCGTAAAAAAGCCCATACACCCAGCTCGAGTCACTGTGTGGTGTCGTTTTTTGAGTGGCGACTCTTTTTTTTGGACCAATGGCGACCACTATCGAGATATGAAAACTCACTTTTTGAGGCAGGGATTGGAAAATATCGATCTCGATGAGGTTTGGTTTTAACAAGACGGTGCAACTTGCCACACCGCCGCGCTTACCATCAACATTTTACTCACAAAATTTAACAATAGTGTTATTAGCCATTTCGCAGATGTCAGTTTGCCACCCTGGAGCTGCTATTTAACCACTTGATTTATTTCTTTGGTACGCATTGAAGGATAAAGTTTATACGGACAATCCTCAAACAATTTACCACTTAAAACAAAACATTCAAGGTCAAATTGCCAAAATAGAGCAGCAAAGTGTTGACAAAGTGCTCATTTTTATACTTAATCGAAAAAAAAAAACATTGTATCAAATAAAGAAATATTTGTTGAAAAAATGTTTCTTGTTGTCATTGCTAATTTATAATCTAACATATAGATGGCCCCCTGAAAAAAAAACAGTTTTAAATAAAATAAATAAAATATATATAAAGATATCGAAAAGATCAAAAACTTTGTTTTACTCATAATTTTAAACTTTTTTAAAGTATTCTGTATACAGTATAAACTGATTAATTTCCTTATTACCTGATGGGGCATTTTGGATTCAAATTACGCAAATCAAATTGAAAATAGAACTGGTTTAATAGGCAGGCAATAATTGCCACAAAAAAACTCCAGTAAAAACGACTTGGTTAGAATAATCATTAGCCAGCCCATAAACTGTGGGATTCTTAGGGGGCATCCATTAATAACGTGAGGTGTTTAGGGGGGAGGGGGTCGAGCCAAACCTCACCCAATCTTACGTGGGGGGAGGGTAGTCTCAGAAAATATCACGTAATTTTTTCCGAAAGAAACAGTGTAAAATTGCGAGAAAACTGGGTTAAATTAAGTAAAAAATGTTTCTCCACTAAAATTTAATGGAAATTTCTCTAATAATATTAGAAATCTTAAATACTAGTGGCGGCTGGTGAATTTTGGGTATACCCATATCTCAGTTATTAGACATGGGACCCACACCAAAATTATATGAGTTTATAATGACATTAAATAGACAAGATCTGCGCAAGCAGAATTTAAATTAAAGTTTGCGAAAAAAAGTTTGTTTCTCAGCTAGTTTCCCCCACCCCCTGCATACCCTAATTAAAATAATTCAAATTAAAGTGGTGCAATTTTTAATTTACTATAGTTTATCGACAAATTTCAAATTTTATAAAAAAAAATCCTGATATTGGAGATTTTATTCCATTTTGTTTTTTTTTCTTCTTCACAAATTTTTTTTATATAGGTATAAAACCTGTTATACTTGGATTTTTTAAATAATTTTTGAAATTTGTCGATAAACTATAGTAAATTAAAAATTGCATCACTTTAATTTGCATTATTTTAATTAGGGGGGCAAGGGGTGGGGGAAACTAGCTGAGAAACAAACTTTTTTTCGCAAACTTTAATTTAAATTCTGCTTGCGCAGATCTTGTCTATTTAATGTCATTATAAACTCATATAATTTTGGTGTGGGTCCCATGTCTAATAACTGAGATATGGGTATACCCAAAATTCACCAGTAGTCTTATTTATAAAAAATATAAGCAATTTTTTTTTCTAATAAATCTAATGAAATCAAGCACATATTAACTAATTTACATTTAAAAAAATCTCAGGTGAGATTAAGGAAGGGAGAGAGCAAAATCTCACGACATCTCACCAAGGGGATGCCCCCTTATTTGTGGACACAAAACAATTAGTACGTAAAATAGAATTGGAAATACAACAGTTTATTTCAGATAACAAATCATGCGCGTCACTCAAAAATAGCATTTAACTTTGTCGTTATTATGTTTGCGAATATGGGGGTGGAACTTTATTATTTTAAATTTAACCCCCAGTATTTTTTTACATAATCAAATAGGAAATTAAGAAACATAGATTGATGTAACTAATCCCTATACCTAAATTTTATAATTTCAGAGATATTTAACAATTTCTAATATTAGACCCAGAATAGTCAAGAGCAACGTCTAATGTAGAAGTAAGAATTAGGAAATGATTGAATGTAAATGAAGGATACTTTGAACATTTAGTAATAAATTATTAATAAAAATTGTTGATTTAAATATTGTTGGTTTATTAAATTGTTATGTAACAGTAACGCATTCTTTTTGTTATTAAAATATTTAATGAAATAAATTTTATATTTTATTGTCTCAAATGAGCTAGTGCTTCATCTTTACCTTTTCAACTTCAAATTGAAACTAATCAATTTCAATTTGGTACTAATCAACTTCAAATTGGAATTTTCACTAAAATTTTAATTTAAACTGTCATACGTTTTGCAAGTCGAACGACAGTCACGTTCAAACTTATATTAAATTAATTAAAATGCCTTAAGCCGGTCACAGACCTGACGAAAACAAAATAATATTTAAAATTGTTAAATATCTCTGAAATTATTAATTTTAGGTATAGGGAATAGTTACATCAAGTTAGTAAAAACATGCCAGGTTAATATAAAAGTTAACGTTTCAAATTACCCTAATTTTCCTTGGGTTTTCTAAGGTAATTTTTTTTTAAATAATAAAGAATTGACATGGAACCTTTTAAACAATGTTTTAAGATTTCAAAAATTCTACCACCATATCCGCAAACCTAATAACAAAAAAGTTATAGGCTATTTTTGATTGACGAGCATTTGTCAAAATTTTTACGAAAATAATTATTAATTATAATTAATCAGTCGTTAACGTGAACCACTAGCATTAGTGGTTATCGTTATATTTAATCGGACTGATTGGTCGGATCGGCCGATAACCACTGATTCTAGTGGCTAACGTTAACGACTCATGTTAGTGATAACTTAAAAACTATTTACTTTAGGTATAGGACAAGGTATAGTAATTTTACACAAAATTGTATGTAAAACTTAATAATGTAAAAATATTTGGGGTGTTCTATTTGAAATAACAAAGTTGATGTTACTTCTGGTTAATCCGGAAGTGGCATTTTGTTGACTTAAATGGATTATAAACGCTATTAAAATTATCTTTTTCCGTTCCCCAGAAATTTCTAATGGACCACTAATGTGAAACATTCTGCATATATAAATACATAGGATTACAATCATTATTAGTCAATGATAAAAACCTACATTATACAAAGAAACAGATTTTGAAAATCACATTAAAGTCAACCTGATAGTTAAACTAATACTTATAATAAACACCCACTCGGTTTACAAGCCTAACAAAACATATTATTTTAGGCCATTCAGAAAGTTTCAAAAGTTCCGAAGATGAACATTCACAAAATTACATTCCACAATCAAAAGTAAGGATGCGTACATTTAGCCTATTTGGTTTAATCCTAATAAACTAACATTTTCAGGATTATCCTAGTCATAGCAAAACTCATTCGAAGTTTCATCGAACGCCATGGGCCAAAATGAAAGATATAATCCAAACGAGAAACAGTTTTAAGAAAAAACACAGACTGAGCGCACAAAGTGACGACATTCAAATCGACGTCGAATTGTGCAGCGATACCGAAGACGTTTTTATTGACGATTCGAATTCAAAATCTTTGCAATCGACGACACCCTCCCCCCGTATGAATGTTTACCGAAGATGCAACTCAAGCGAAATACCTAGCGAAATAATTGCCCGATATCACCAGGTCCTTGCTGATGAAGAAATGGTAAGTTTAGCACTTAAAATATATTTTAAAAGTATATTTATTTAATTACATAAAACTCTTAAATTAAAATTATGCCATAATATATTCGGAAATTGATTTGGTGTTTACTGTAAGTATTTGGCATTCTTAAATCAATTATATTATTTTAATTAACATTCCTAACCTGTAACTACATCACTCTTTTTAACTAACATGTGGGGCCAAAATTAACCCAAAATAAAAAAATTTGAATTAAATTTTTTTAATCATTAATAATAATAATAATAATTCAAAAAATTCGGTATGAAAATCAGGCATGAAATAGCTATTTACATACCATAGGAGGAAAGTAGTGCTTTTCCTCCCGCGAATAGTTTGATGCCCGACGCGAAGCGAAGGGCATTAAATATTCAAGGGAAGAAACGCATTTTCCTCCTGAGGTATGTATATAGTTTTTTCTATTACCTTTTAACTGGTTTAAGACATTTTAAGCGTTCCGGTTCCTTTTACTAACCCGGTATGGTGCTATAAAATTATGACAAAATATTAAGTAGGTGTTGCGTCGCCGCCGCTTTGTTGCTATGGTTTTTTGGTAATACAAACATAACAGTTTTTATAAGCTGTCAGAATGTTTATCATAAATTTGAAATTCTTCCTACGTTTTGAAAATGAGTTCTAGCGAAGAAGACCTACCGCAAGATCTTGCTAAAAAGGCAAGAATAGTTGCAATTAATTTCCTTCCTTAAAAATCGAAAGAGCGATATGAAAATGAATACAGTTTGTTAAAAGAATGGTTGGACAAGCGCAGAGTAAATCTTTTTCCTACAAAATCAAATAGGGCTAGACAAGGTACAAAAACTCTTGCTAAATGTAAAATTCTTAAAAAAAAAGAGAGAGGAAATTTTTTTCCTCCCGGGGAGGAAAATAGGCATTTTCCTCCCTCGCTTGGGGGTGGAAAAATAGTTTTTTTAATCAAGTCAATGTTAACTAACTATGGAAGAATACAGAAATCGTTGAGCATGTCAGCCAAAACATATGTAGTGAAGAAAGAAAAAATTGAATGTTGAGGTCATTTCGCAACCCACGATAGTAGTTACGGGTTAAGACATTTAAGTCTTGCTTAAGTTGAGATACTTATATCTACCTTAAGATGAGATTTTTAAGACGGTTATTTCTAACTTAACGACATCTTTAACACCTATGTATGATGTATGTCTTCTAAACACCTATAAGGGTGTCTAGAAGACATACCGACAAACTTTTAGGGGTAGTAGAGGTCATTAAAACAAACATTTTTTGCTTAATATGCTGTTTTGACAGAAAAAAGAAAAAACAATTTTGAAAATTCTGTTTATTCAAATAATTAATTATAATTAATAATGGTACCAAAGAATTTTTATAATAATTGTTCAAAGTATTCACCATTTACTTGAATACAAGCAGCCATTAATCTTGCTAAAAAATCTGTTGTTTTCTATAAATCATAGCATATGCTCATATGAGGACTTTCATCATTTCAAATGTGGCTGTTGTAACAACAGCGTTGTTGCTATAAAAATAACCATCACGCGTTAAACTTGCTTCAACAGAAAATAATACCATTCTCCCAGAGGTTCCAAAACTCATTGGCAAAAAGCCTATCGAAATGGTAAATCTGCAAGATTTAAAGCTTGCACTTGTTGTAAATGATAACGGTGAAGTAGTTATTCATGCATAACATCCCATACCACCCATTTAGAGGTCTTCATATGGTATGCAACTGCGCGGACACTTGTTGATATAACTTTTTCTACAAATTCTATCGTACGTTCTTTGACGACAAGAACGCTTTAGTTTGAGATTTTCTCTAAGGCGACGGTGGAGCAAAGCAAAGGTTGTATGTTGAGGTTGCTAGCGTCTAGGATATCTCTGTTAATGTAAATGTACAGTCTTACTTCCATTACAATTTGCTACACCATAAGCAAGGTGCATATCGGGAAGTTCTCCAAATGAAACATTATTTTCCATTTTCTAAATACTTAAAAGGTGTAAAAATGTCAAACCAAGCTGCATTAGAGTTGTTTTTATAAACACAATGTTTTGATAGGTACATACTTACTAAAGATTTACACAAAAGTTAAACTCAGTTGCATTAAAGTTGTTTTCATAAGAACGAAATGAATACTTATTAGTTATACTCTTACTTATAAGTACAAAAACTAAATAAAGACCAAGTTGGATATGATTTTTAATTTTTAATCAAGAACCAAATCGACTAATTTGTGGACATATGTTATTAAGCAAAAAATGTTTGATTTGATGTCCTTTACCACCCCTGAAAGTTTGTTGGTATGTTTTCCGGACACCGTGTAAATGGCTAATATTAACATTGTTTTTGCAGTTATATCTTGCTTAAGTTGATATTTTTTAAGACAGTTACATAATATTTAGATTGTGAGACGAAAAGTTAATATGGATGTTAGGGCTAACTTTCTTAGATTTCAAGGTATGGAATGTTAAAAATGCAAAGAAAATTTATATTTCTTATAATATCTTAGAAAACCCTTTAATGACAAAATGATAGTAATGCTCAACAATAATCTGGTGCTAACATTGCATTTAATGTACAGGAATTCCCTGCTTAAAATACCCCATAGGTACCTATATAAAATAATCTATCGGGGGCTACCGGATTCAATATGTGCATTTGTCCATGGTTTTTTCCGGATACGCCCCGATAGAAAATGTATAGGAAATTACCTATAGGCACCGATAGCAAATAACGCAATTAAGGATATATAGGGATATCCCTATTGAACAACCATAAAAACAAAATTTTATCAAAACCTATGGGGTCCTATGGGGGAAAAACTGATTTCTACGTGTATGTGTATTTTCCCCATTGAAACCAATAGCAAATAAATCAGAGGTGAATATCCCTATAGAACAACCATAAATCCCAACTATGGTCCTATACATAGCGATACACGCTACACCATACACCATACATTCTGATACAAATATCTATCGGTTTGAACAGGGTCTCTATTGGGTATTTTAAGCAGGGTTGACCACCAAACCCCCTAATTAAAATTTCTGTTACGCCAATAAGTTTTATGAATTGTTTTTCTAAATGCTCATTCATAATTTCAACCTTTTTTTCTTTTGCAACTTTTTAGCACGATTCACCATTCTTGAGTTATTTGTGCCTTTATCGATTACATACTTAAAAGTATGTAATTGATAAAGTATTTGGTTTTTATTTGATTTCAAGTATACAGTAAATAAATTTATTTGACTAATTGCTAATAATTTTTTTACACTACCAAAGACTAATGGAACCGATGACGGAAAAATATCCAAATGGATCAGAGTCAAAAAAGCATTTTTATCTCCAGAAATACGAAACCGAGTACGGACTATTTCAGAAAAAGGTAACATATACTCAAACACATTTAATGAAAAACAAAATTGTAATTTTTATTTACAGAATTTCTGGAAGCAGCCGAAAAAGAAATCCAAAAGAATTACAAAGCGTTACAAAATAAGATAAGCAAAGAATTTTATGAAAAACGTAATGGTTGGGAACGCATGAAACAATGTTCTCCTAGTACTTCGACCGCAATGTCATCCAGCACTTTGGAAGACTATAACGATCCAGTTTTTGTCAAGAAAATGGAAGAATGGAAAACAATCAAATCAAACTTGCATAAAGGCGCCCAAAAACCCCAAACTCAAATGGCCAGAGAAACCGATTTGCCCCCAGAGTTCAAGAAAAAATTGCAGGTTGAAGTCAAGATTACCAAAAAAAAATACTTTAACTGAAACAATATATTTTTAGGAATGGGAAAGAATAAAGAAACTTTCCGGCAAAGAATCTTCCGGTCAAAAGAAAAAAATTGGCGAGGTTCCTCGATGGAAATCGTTGAGCGGACCTCGTAGCGAAACCACTTTTGAACTGCCTCCCCTTTCGGATGATTTCAAAAAGAAATTGGAAGAGTGGAGACACATAAAAGCCACTGGAGGCATGCTGTCTTCCGAAGCTTTTAATAAAAAGCTTAAGGACAAGACACCAAGCCCAAAATTAAGCAGGAAAAATTCGTCACACAAACATAGAAGAAAGTCGAAAGATCCATCAAATGAAATCCATTACTTTGAAAAGGAGTGTTGCAAAACAGAAAAAGATAAATATCAGAGGTAAAACATTTATTAAGAGAATATATTTAACTATAACAAAAGGTTTTAGGATTCCTAAATCCAGGAAAATTAGCCCCAACAAGAAAGAAGTCCTTGTCCACACCCCTTCAGGCTTTTACAGATTTGAAGGTATCTCCAGAAAGTTTACCCAGAAACTTTACGAATGGGAAAAGGCGCAAGGAATCGGTCCGGAATCATCCACAGTTGCATTATTAACATCCTTAAATAATAATAAGATTTATGGAAAACGAAGTACCTGTAAGTTTAAAACATAGGCTATAGTTATACTTTCTTTTTAATTAATTAATTGTAAACGTATTTTTGTTTGTAATATGAAACAAATATGAACTCATATTTCCTGATCTAAACTGAATGTTTAAAGATTAGGAAATCTGTGTAATTATAATGTTTTTGTAGCAAATTCTCCATCTTTGGTTCGATCAAAATCAGTGGATAGCATTGCTAAATGTGCGAACATTCTGACTTGCCCAACAATAACCCAACAACCATCCAGCTTATCCCTAAACGATGTTAATGAATTCGACCAAAAGTCTCTAGTAGAGTCAAAATACTCCTCTATGAACTATTTAAACTATCCTGATGATGACGCAGACGAACCAGAAGCATTGATAGTAGAAGTGGAAGATTACGTGGAGGAAACAGCATCTCCATTGAAAACGTTTATAAAAGAACAGAAACCAGTTTATCAGAGAGAAAAAATGAAAGCCATGTGGTACTTAAATTTATCTTAAAATTATCTATACATTTATTGTTTTGGTAATTTTAGTGAAGGTGAGACTATTGCTGCTCCTAAAGTAAGAAGAAGTGAATCTAAAAGGGCCCAAGCTAATTATAATATTATGGAAGAAATATTTATTATTTTGAGAAATCTCCTGGAGCACGAAAATGAATTAATGTAATAATAAAATTATGTAAATAATAAATTTAATAATATTTTTGCTTTAGGGCTACAAAGGAGGATTACAACTATTTAGAACATAATTTGAACTGTTTCAAAATTAAAGTAAGTTTTGTATAAATACATTATTATCGTTTTAAACTACAAGGAGTTTAGTTAACCCAAAAATGGCCAAAGGTGCATAAAACTATATAAAGTTGAAAATACTTTGGCCTTTGCATTTTCGTCAATTAACCTTCGATACACTTACTTTATAAACTTGAACATATTTTTTAGGATATAGTCGATAAGGAACGATTATTATCACGAAGGATGATTGAAAGAATAATTCGTCTTCAAGAAGCCAACGTAATGGTTATTTCTTCCATTAATAAAGATGAGCCCACCTTAAGTACCAGTAAACTATATGATGTTTTAGAAGCTGTCCAAGATCTGTCGTCGGAAATATTACAAATAGTAAGTTATTAAATTTTATTTATGTATATAAAAAGCTGTACATTGTTATCATTTTAGACTGAACACTTTGATAGAGATGTAAATGAAAGGACACAAAGTGGCAACTATAAAATGTTCTACATAAATTCCTTAGCAGATAGTCTTTTGGAAATACGAAATAAAATGATCGAATTAAGAAGACATATTAGTTACGTTTGTGCAGCAACAGGTTAGTAAAAATATTATTTTTATAAAAGGTTTAATTTAACATTTTAGATTTAACAACGCCGAATAAAAAAACTTCTGATATGAGTAAAACCAAAATATACAAAACCCTATCAAGTGAATCGAAAAGTTCAAGATGTGAAACAAGCGAAAATTCAAGAGATAACAGCTTTAAAAAATTTAAGGAAAATAGATTTCAAAAGTCGGAAACATGTAATATCCAGAGTCTGGGTGCAGTGAAAAAAAGAATAAAGTACAGACAAAAAAGCCTACAAAATAAAAGCTTCCCGGATACAGATGAAGAAGATGATTCGATGGATGGAGAAAGAAAAAATAAACCAAAGAAAATCTGCAGGACCAAATCAACGCCAGAAATAATGGGAAAAAACCAGGACTACGATGGTTTTATAATGCCTGACAGAAATTACTTTGATGCCCCTGCGACAACTAGCTTTACGCAATCTACAAATAACAATAACGTTTCAGCGGAATCTCCTGTGACGGTTTTCGTAAAAACCACCAGAAAATTATTTACCCCCATTGGAGTAACTAGTTTGTCTCTTCCCAGCCCAGAAGTTAAAACTGATGAAATCAAAGACGTAAGCATGACTAAACCCCAAGGAGATACCATCACGCATCTTCCACCACTGCCTTCATCTCCAGGACCTCAAAGGAAACTTCTCAAGGACGTTTCTCCTAACATCAGATTAATGCTTGCCAAATACAATCAAAAGTTAAGTGAGCACGAAGTGATCAGCAACAATTCGGGTGGGAGCAGCGGATCAGCTTCGCCGATTGCCTGGAGATCTCCAACAGCGGAAAGAAGAGTTAAATCCCAAACGGAAAAGTATCAGGAAGGGTTGTGCAAACTGTCTCCATTGTTGGGGGGAAGACGGGAAGTTCAGAAATCTGCGAGTGTTGGTTTTATAGGCAACAAACAAGTCACCATGCATTTAAGAAGGGACTCGGAAGAGAAGAACCTGCTTCAGCGAAGTACTTCAAGTATAACATCCAGCTTGGTGTCAGAAAAATCACCCGAAAAACCTTCAACTAAAATGAGGAAAAATTTAACATTAAACCTTAACATTGATCGTGAAGACAACATTAGTCGACATTCTCCTGAAATACGATTAAAGAAATTACAAAAAGCCAAAGAGGAGTTTCTCAAAACAACTCCAAATTCAGCTCCTACACAGATTTCAAACGAGGAGTTTCTGAAATATCCGATCAGAAATCGTTTAAGTCAAATTAGCGTTGACAGTGAATCCAGCTACGATTCGACGTATCCAGGGGCTCTAATAAAATCCGTTAGTGCGGGCATGATAAACATCGATCCGGACGCGTATAAACAATTCGATCCCGAATACCATGCATCCGGCTACGTTTCTTTGCCCAGGTCAGGTAAAAAAACAAAAGAAGGTATTCTGGGAGGAAAGTTTGCCTTCTCGAACATCGCCTCCAAATTTCGCAAAGTTAGGATGCGCAAAGGCAAAGATAAAATGAACGCTGTTTCCACTTTGTGCAGACAAAGTTTAGTGGTAGACATTAGTCCTTCTGATGAAGTAAGTCGTCTTGTGCCCAGTACGGAAGCTTCTTCCACGGATGTGTCCCCTTCCTCTTCAAGATCAGGCAGTTGGATTAAGAAACCAAAATTATTTAGGAGATAACCATTACTAACTTAAACGTTGTACAATTATTAATTTTATATTGTTTTTATTTTAATGTATATTCCTTCCTGTTCAAAAGATTTTTTTAAGAAGGAATTGAAGTGGATGCCAGTTAAAACAAGAATATAAAAAGTATATTAAGTTGTGATCATAGCTAAATTTAATTTTAATATATTTGTTTAAGATTTAAAGAGTTCAGTTGAAAAGAGTTTAGAGTAACAATCGATACTAGGCTTGTGGTCTAAAAATAAATCCCTTGAATAGAAAATAATTAAAATACTGTTTATTAGTTTTCCAATTTATTAATATATACCTACAGTGTGTCCCAGGTTTTAGTAGCAGGACTTTACTAGCGAATGCGAAATACTTATATCCAAATATTGCACCTTTTAGGAATACCTCCTTTTAGGAATACATCCTAAAGTTATAATATTTTTTAATATTTTCTTTATTATCTTTAAAGATATAAAAGTAAATTATTTAAATTAGCTAGGCGTTTATATCTAACAAAAAAACATTATTTAAATTATTATTTTTGTTTTAATATTATACAGGGTGACATTCAGTGCTGGATGCTCCAGTGAACGAGTTTTCGTTCGTTCCGCGCATTACGTCACTCGACGAGTATACTAGCCGCGCAAATACGCGAACAATAGCAATATTATCAAAGAATATAGAGATTTCTGGACTAAATACGTTTTTTTAAAACTTAATATTAAAGAAAGTGTTATATTATGAATGATAGATGCTTTGGAAAAATATTTGATACTATTTAAATCAATTTTTTATTATTAAAAGAAAATACAATTGTTTTAACCAAAAATATTTATTGCTATATTCTGTTTATAATATTCCTAGATGCAGGATGCTCTAAAAAATATTATTTGATATTTAAATATATTTTTTTATTATTAAAAAAACACAATATTTAGTTTTAACCAGAACTGGGCACGAGTACTAAAAAAAGTATTCGTAAAATTAAAAGTACGAGTACTTAAAATATTTACTCGTAAGTACAGGGTGATCCCCTATAATGTCACCCCCCTTTAACTTTTTTATTTTAAGTCTCGCAAAAATTTTAAAAGTTTGGTTATGTAGGTACTAAAAAATACTTTTTTTCTACGTATAAAGAAAATTGGAAAATTTATCAGTGTACAGGGAAAAACAAAAAGTTTATTTTTTTTCAATGGATCACCCTATATATGTATTTATTTTTCGATTCCTTGTAAAATTCTAAGCATATTTCATATAACATACCATATACCTAAATTCAACCGTTTCTGAAATATTTAAATTATTTTTAAGATAATAAGTGGAAATAGTTTGTCTTTCTCTGTCTGAGTACGCCATTTTTACTTATTTAACAAGACATATTGACATAATGTCACTGTAGTATATTTGTAAGGAGAGATTACGGTTACGAGTAGTAATCGTGAAAACACGAGTAAAGAGAACGAGTACTTTTAAAAAATGTTAGTTAATATAATTGATTATTCTTTACTCTCTAAAAATGGATTGGTCAAAAATTACTAATTGTCATAGCGAAAAAGCAGCCACTAATAAATCTCGTCAATTGCAATTTGTATTTTTTATTTTATTTTATTTTATTATTTTTTAATGTGCTTTCAACAGGCACCAGGCCCAATTACAGAAATACACAATGACAAACACACATAAACAACCATGGGATTCGATCCCACGACCTCTCGGCTTGTAGTCCGCAGTGTAGTCCGCAGTGCTAACTAAACTTTAAACATTTAGCAGTCAATTTCCATGTAAAATTGTTTCCTGGATCCAAAAATGACGTCAAAAGTTAGAAAAGTAGCAAAGTTTTTGAGATATAGTCCATATAATATGGAATTGACTATATCTCAAAAACTGCTCCACTTTCATAATTTTTGAGGGTATTTTCAATAATTTCCACCAATAACTGTGGTAATTGGTCATTTTCGACTAATTCATTTTTAGAGAGTATACATTATAAATTAGGGTGTCCCTGGGTCATTCCACGTTACTCGGGGATTTTTGTCCCGCCCGTCACAATTAAAAATTGTGAGTAAAAACTACACCTTATAAAATTTATTTAAAAATAATGTTTTATTATGCTTTTAATAAGTTATAGGCACAATAAAAATAATATTATAAAATATTAATTTTATATCTTGTGGTTTTTACTCACAATTTTTAGTTGTGGCGGGCGGGACAAAAATTACCGAGTAACGTGGAATGCCCCCCCTTATTTTTATTTTTTTTACGCATACCCTGTAATTATATTTATTACGTGTTTATGTACTCCTTCAGCTCATTCTATAAACGGCAACCCGTGCCGACTTGCATCTGAACCCTCCGTTAGCCAACGTTAGGCGCGCGGTATTTTGTAACACGGTTGGTCGCGAGGTCTTCTATCGTAAGTCATTTTGTGTTTTTTATTATGTGACCCTTATATTATAAACTATTGACAAATGTTAAAATATAGTTTTATTTATGTGTATACTTTGATAAAAATGTATATTTTCACAGGGAGTGGCTAGTTACCCGGAAGGGTCTGGTGAATAGGCCGTAAACTCTGAAATTGATAAACTTAATGGGTTTTACTCTAAATAACTAAAAGAGTCTATTGTGAGAGATGACTACCGAAAACTTATTGAACTGTCTGAAATATTTTTGGGAGGACATCAAGAAAAGAAATGCTTATAAAAAGCTGAAATTTCATATCACAGTATATTTCATATAACATATAACAGTATATTTGAGCAATACTAATTAGTATATTTAAGGGATAAAATCAACTAAATTAGTGAAACAAATGATAGAAACAAAAGCAATAATTTTAATTAGTAATCATATTTAATAAAATCATTAGAAAAATACAGTCATGAAGTATATCTTCTTTTTAAAGTGTTTCGTGTTACAAAATACCCCGCGCGCCTAACGTTGGCTAACGGAGGGTTTAGATGGAAGTCGGCACGGGTTCCGGTTTATAGAATGAGCTGAAATTTTTACTGGGAGTATATAAACAAGTAATAAATATAATTAGAGGGTATGCGTAAAATAAATAAAAATAAGGGACACCCTATTATACATATATGTATACTTTACATTTTACATAAAAGTATACGTTGGTCCTGAGCTATAAAAATACAAATACAAATTTATAAAATTATTTTAAACATTATGTACATAAAATAATAACAATTCTTAAATAGTTTATAATTTCACCTATTTACTTGTTATAAAACCTATAGGCTATAATATATTATATTATACTATATATTATATTTATATATACAGACTTCCAAACAAAATGTTTATATTATATAATTTAAAACAGACTTCCAAACAAAATGTTTTGATGCTTACGATATTTTGGCAAAAAGTCATCGGTATAATAAACGATATAATACTTATGAGTAAAAAAGTACTCGTACTTTTTTACTCGTATATGAAATACGAGTAAAAGTACTCAGTACTTGGCCAGCTCTGGTTTTAACCAAAAATATTTATTAAAATATAGTGTTAATAATATAGATGCTAGATGCTTTGGAAAAATATTTAATTATATTTAAATGTACCTATTTCTTATTATTAAAAGGAAATAAATTAGTTTTAACCAAAAATATTTATTACAATTTTAAATTATATTACGAAAATTCCCGGAAAAATTTTTATTTTTGTATTGATTTATTTTAAACCATTTGTTAATATTATAATTCAAAATTAAATTTTCAAAAGGGTGTAAGGTTTTTTACACAATTTTTTTTAAGTTTAATGGTTCCACTAATATTAAAAGTTTGTAGATATTTGGTATTTTCCATATTTATTCCTTAAACAGTCAATGTATAATTGACGGCGCCGCACAGTGGGAGGAATTTCAAAAATCGCGGACAAAATTAGGGACACATTATTTTGAGCTATTTTAAGGTTTATGCGGTGGTAAATTTATGCTAAAATATTAATATTAATAAAATGTTTTAATTATGTACACAAATTCACAAATTTGTTTTAAACAATTTGGAAAAGTTCGGTTTTGTCGATCCTCCATTCTCCAAAAATATAAATTAATAAACAAATATATTACGCAATATTACCTAAGCTAAAAATAGAAAAATAAACAAAAAAAAAAATAATAAAAATTAAGGAATGTTCGAGCAAAATCACTTATATTTGTACATTTTTTTTCGTTTTTCGTTTTTTCTTTGTAAATTTTGTATCTTTTGCTTTATTTATATCGACTACTAAAGTGACTTGGTCCAAAAAAAACCCTATATCGTTGTTAAAATAACATTTAAAAGTTGATTTTTAAGCAAAACCGGTTAAATCCACGTTTTTTACCTACTCTCTAAAAATGAATTAGTCAAAAATGACTAATTTAATAGTAATTAGTGGTACCATAGTTAACCATGGAATATAACGGTATCCCAAAATTTAACATCCAATTCTTATGTAAAATTGTCCCCTGAATCCGAAAATGCCATAAAAAATTATGAAAGTGGAGCAGTTTTTGAAATATAGTCAATTCCATATTAAATGAAAAATTGACTATATCTCAAAAACTGTTTTACTTTTTTAACTTTTGACGATATTTTCGGATTCAGGGGACAATATAAGATTTATCAATAATATCCAGGTTTTCGGTTAGGTACTTTAAAAGTTTGTTGTGTTTTTCTTTGTTACTAACATTTTTAATAAGTTCATACAACTCCTTATTAGTCGTTGATGGCATTTCTACATAAGAAGAAGCAAGTTATTCAAATAAACATGTAATATTTATATTAATATTAATATTATAACTTACCAAATATTATTATAAAGCGTTAATAAACACAAAAACACGATGAGATTGTATGTGTGATTGACTTTCACTGGAAACTGACGTTTTAGAACTAGCAAAAGGCAACTATGATGACTTATAAATATTCGACTAATATGATAAATTCATGGACATATTTCATATTCTGCTGACCAAACAGGCAAAAAAAGGCAGCTTAATTCTTTTGATTTTAAAAAAAGAAAATTTGATGAACGTTCTGGTACCAAATACTTTGCCTCACACCAAGACACACTTAAAGAAAAATCTTGTGGTTTGTAAAAGATTTATCTACTTTGAAAGGCGATGGTAAAAGGTTTATAAAAACCGTATTTACGGTAAAATTAGCAATTTTAGACTTTTATATGAAAGAACAAGGATAAGGAATGTGGTAAAATATACCATCATTTCCTTTCATTAATTACGCAAAACAAAAATGGGCTTGAAAAACTTACATACAATTTGCTCTAAAAAATCGACACGAACAATGTGACTTTTTAAGCAAGTTTAAGCGGGCATTTTATCATAAAAAATTATATTTCTTTTAA